GAAACTGATCAGAGGCTGATTCCAGGAAGCCCGGGGCAGAGCAACTCTGCCTCGGGCTTCCTGTAGTCAGCCGCTGGTCAGTTTCAGCAGCAGCTGAATCTGGACGCCAGTTCTGACTTACATACAGATTCAACTTAAGAACAAACCTACAGTCCCTATATCTTGTACGTAACCTGGGGACTGCCTGTAGATGGTATCATGAGCTTTTGTGGGAAAAACCCACTTCTTCAGATGACTGGAGTGGTTCTTTTAAATCAAGTGTTCTTTTAAAGCTTGCAACAGTTTATACCTATGTTAGATGAAAATGCAGTCACAACTAAGTAGATGTGAAAGATCTAGGAAAAACAATAATTGTGACAAAATAAGTGAAATACTTTCTGCTGTTTTACCCTTTGCAACCCCTTACTGAGACTGTACCAATGAAATCAATACACAGAATGTCTGCTCTAAGGCACTTTATTGCATTGCTCAGTTTTTTAAATCTTCTGTAGTGTACTACTACACTCAATGAAAGCTGTTGTTTCTTCATGTGAAAAATATATGAGAAAGATGCAACCAACACAACTACATTCACAGGATAGGTGGTTTCATAGTGGAAGGAGCTTGTTACAGAGGTCCAAGTCGAACAGGATGGTGATTCAAGCCATTCATAGGATCATTCAAAAAATACACTTCACTTTCTGTTGCAAGCATTTTGGAAAACAAGAGGGAGAAGAGGGTAAGTGTGACAATTCTGAATCATCTGGGGAAATTCTGGACCAAATAGGAGACACTTGTCATTCTTGGATTTGGTTTTTCTAATTCCATACCAACTAGGAATGAAATGATTCAACCTACCATATCATTGGTGGTATTTTTACTAGCTAGGTTGTTTCCACTGCTCTGCACAGCTGGAGTCACAGGCTTGTTCTCTGTTAGTGACGCTTTGCCAGCGCAAACTTTATGGAAGGGCAGAGGTAGTCCAGGCATGTTGGCTTCACCATAACCGAAGGGCTCAGAATGCAGAACTTTTTCTGTGACTCTTGCAATTCTCATGGGTGTAGAACTGGTCTTTTGGCTAATTATGTGCTGCAGAGATTCACGTAATAAAGGCAGGTCTAAACTGCCGCAAGGCCTGCTTGCTTGAGGAAGAGGCAGAGACACTGATTTTTTTTCTAGTTTGTTACACAGGCAGTGAGGAGTATTTGTAGCACATTTAAGGGGCACTGACTTTTTTGGATCTTCTCCAGAATGAAGCAGATGGGCTAAGCATGCCTGACAACTGTGTTTAATGATCATTAACTCCGTGGTATTTGTAGAGATCTCTAAAGCCGCTAGCTGTGACTTACTTGTTTCCTCTTCTCTATTAGGTGAGATTTTTATGTTTTTCTCTATTCGTTCTGTTGGAAGAGAGGATGTCACATTTGGAGTCAAAGCCACTACTGAATCACTATGGCGACGATAATTGCTCTGAATGCTGTGAATCATGGGTAACGAATATTGGCTAACACAGGGGCAGCGTGCCACTGGAATTTCTGAAGGACACACTAGGCCTATATTGATTCTTTCATTGGAGAGAGCAGAAGGTTTATGTTCGATTGCACACTGTTGTTCTTGCAGTGACAAGTCCATTAATTCTTTCTGGCCAAGGTCATTGTAACATGAACACATGAGTAAGTGTGAGTATCTGTCTGGGTTACCAGTGTTGGGTTTTGGAGCCTCAATAACAGAAGTGCTTCTTCGCCTCTGTGCAACATTATATTTAAGCCAAGGGCTAGAAAGGCATTCAATGGACGCTTCACTTTTAGCACAACAGGAAGAAATATCACACCCAAGAGGCTCTTGAACAGATGAAGGAAAAGTAACAGGTGGCTACATTTACAGCAAACAAAAAACAAAAACGAAAAATAATTCTCAAACGAAAATGCTCATGAGGTTAAGATTAACCATGGAAAAACTATTAAAAACAACTCAGTGACATGAAAGAAAGATGGAGGCTCACTTAACAATGTTTAAATTAAAGTAAAGCAGGAAAGCATTTCCTTGAGCACAGGAAGTACAATTATGAATGAAAGATCTCTAAAGCTGCTAAGCTAAAGCTGGTAGCCAGCACACATTTTTAGGCAAAACTATGAAAACGTCTATTAAATAAATCAGCATTGGTAGAAACAGAGAGAAGAAAAAAGGGTGAAGACACAATATAAGGCTGGTCATTAAACACGGTCTAGTACAGTGGTCTCCAACCTTTCATGGCGGCCGGGTGCCCAGGGGCGGGGCCGCTCACGCGCCCTGGGCCGGCACCACGCATGTGCCGCACGCCCGGGGCAGGAGCCGCCCACGCGCCCTGAGCGGGCCAGCCCAGATGATTCGGCGGACACACATAAATGCCCCGGTGGGCGCCATGGCACCCGTGGGCACCACGTTGGGGACCAATGGTCTAGTACATTCAACAATGTGGAAATAAAATGAGACTTACTCCTGAAGGCTGCTGGTAGTGACCCAGCTGCTGAAGGCTTTGAGGCAAAGCCTGGCTCTCGCTTAGAGGTGGACTGTAAACCCGTTGAATAGCAGGAGGTATGGAATCAGGCAGAGATGAGTAGATGACACTTTGCTGGCTGCTCTGGGAGTCTGAATAAACTGTGGACCCCTGACCGCTGTCAAATGTGCTGTCAGCTGCAAAAACAATCTTTTTTATTAAGAGCTTAACAAATCAAACAAAACGCTCAAGTAGTGACTTAACGGGGAGGCCTATGTGGGGTTTATGCAAATAGTATTTAAACTGCCCTAGCTATTTCCACCATATAAATAACTCATGACACAAATGCTGTTTTCTAGGAAGGGTTCATCTCTCCTCCCAGAAGCCAGAAGTAAATAGAGTTTCCTATGGATTTTGCATAGAGAAAGGCACATTGAAATACCCTTCAGAGGTCACAACAATGATGAGAAGAACTGCAGACCTTCTATGGGTTCTATAGCCCATAGTTCAGTGGGAGAACACAAATCTCAGCCCCCTGTAGGATGAATTCCTTTGGAGACAAAGCAGTTTTAATGATTATTTTAATTCCCTTTTGATTAGTGGGGTTGCAAATTTCAAATTCAAATAAGTTACAAATTATTGTTTACTGTGTGTTAGCCAATATAACATTTGTAATCAGCTGCACAGTGTCGTGCCACTGGGGTTGAGGGAATACTGACGAAAAAAGAAAAATTAGGGGAAAATGAACAACAGACAAACTATCAGAAAACAAATGCTGGCTTTTGACCACTATATATTAATTGTTGCAAGGCAGTGAGACATTCTTTAAAAACCACTCAAAATTATTAACTTGGTTTTGACTTGCCCTGCAATTTCAGACATTGCTTGCTATTGAAGCACAGCAAAGCTACATAAGAACAGACCCTTTGAAATTACAACTGAATTTGAAACAATTTTAATACATCCTGCTCTTTCCTGGTGGTGGTATTACAAACAGAAAGCACGATAAATAAATAAAACGAAATAATACAGCTTTGTATAAGCAGTCATCTTGATCCAAGTTTTTAATGATTAGGAGCACAATTCACCATTTTGTCAGTGCTAATAATGCTGACAGTTAGCTCAACTAATGTGAAAAATTGCACAACTCTGGGAACTGGGCAAAAACGACATCTTCGCCAAATAGAAATAAGGCTTATAATAGCTTTGCTCAATATTAAAGGCTTGAAAAAAGGCCTTTTCAAATGTACTGAAGCCTGTAAAATATATCTGCACTGTTAACTAGTTTCTTTTTCTATAGCTATTGTGTTTACCCTTGAACTAACCTAGGCAGTAGCCACTCATATATGAAGTTAAATATCCTGAGAAAGTTCCCTCTAAGCTGCGTGCCTGGGGAAAAGGTGTGCTCCTCTGGCTCCAGCAGGGAGCTGCAGCAGCCAGGACAGAGGCCTGCCGCTCTGCTGCTGGGCTGGATTAAGAAAGGGTTTTCAGGGGCTATAGTCCAAGGCCACCTTAGCTCAGGGTCCTGGGCTGCAGGCCGTGAAGCCCCAGTTTTCTCTGGCAGCCCTTCCTGGCAAGGGAGAGGTAGCTCCACCTGCTGCAGTTCCTCCTCCTCACCAGGCTGTGCGAGCGCCAGGGAGTGGTGCCTGCAGGTTAGTGTGGGGTAACACGGAGCCACCTGTTCCCTATCACCATCAAACAAGCGCTGCCCCAGGTAAGATCCCTGCACCCCCAGTCCCTAGCCCAAGCCCCTTCCCACAACCCTGGTTCCCTACTATACCCCACACTTCAACTCTGAGCCCCTCCTCCGCACCCCCCACACCCAAACTCCTGCCCAGACCCACCCCAACCACCTGCCCAGAGCCCACTCCCATACTTCATATCCATTGGTCCCAGCCTGGAGCCCCTTCCTGCACACCAAACATCACATCCCCAGTCCCACCCCAGAGCCCGCTCCTCCAGCCAGGACCCTTTCCCCCTGCAACCTTGAGCCCCCTCCCACACTCCAAACCCCTCAGCCCCACCCTCAGCACAGAATGTCCATGTGTAGAATGAATTTTTTTATGCGCACCAATATAGTGGAGATGTATCTCACATCATCCCTATATTGGTGCACAGAAAAAAAAATTAATTCTGCACATGGACATACAAAATTACACAGTCTCAGGGAAGAGTTAAAAATCTGGAACAACAGTAGACTGTGCCAGACTTGACCTGTAATTGTTTAAAGGATTTTAAATTAAAGGAGAAAGATATGGTAAAATAATCTAAAATCTCTCATGCTCCCCATCCCTCCAACTCCTTCATAGGGCTTGAAATATACATGGGTTTGAATAAAATGGGTGAACTCCATTCAAGTTTTCAGAAACTAACCTCGATTCTGTTTTGAAACAACTAAAACCTACCTTGAATTTTCATCATGACCCCTTTAAAAATCACATGCTGCCTATGGCAACAATGTATGTTTTTATAGAATGCAGAGTTTCGTCTCATTAAACAATCATTCAAGACCGCAAAGGAAGACAAAGTGTAAGTGAACAGAGCTAAAGCAGAAGCTGAGAGTCAGAACTAGATTTTCTTGGCACACCATGTTGTACACAGATATTAAATTATTAATGTCATCTTAGCCTTCCTTCTCTGAATACAACATGAACAGATAGGAAAGTGATTTATAGAGCTTTTAGACTCATTAGCAGTAAGCACGTATCCACCAACATGGGATACAGAATTGCCCCCCCCCCCCCCACACCCACCCGGAGAGAGAGAGAGACAGGCACCGTGTTTGTTTTTATAGACTGCGTTTATATTTCCCTCTGCCGATCTGGCTAATCTACATGCCTCCGTCGACGATCTGGCTAATCTACATGCCTCCGTCGAAGGAGGCATGTAGTCTAGACACACCCAGAGAGAGAGAGAAAGGAACAATTAAACTCATTTAGCTATTATGTTTAAATAACTTAGTATCTTTTATAAAAAATTCCTCAAAGGAGTCAGCTTATAAGAGTTAAGTACATGGTCAGAAAAAAAATATCAGATCAAATCATCATCTTCTAAAAGTTTTGAAAGTATTATAAATATTCTGTAAAGTTTTGAAAATACTGTAACAGTAAAACAATTGTATACCTTCCAAAGGCTTGCTGTTTTGTGCTGAGCTTGTTGAACTACTATGTTCAAACTCAAAAGCTAACTTACACACAATGCATTAACTATACAATGGGGAGGATTTTGTGTATGTATTTATAAAATACCTGAATGAAGGAATAAGCAAGCAGTCTCTGAGTGCCTAATAATCTTAATTTAAATAAAAAAAATGTTTATAATAAAATTCCAGAGCAACAAAAAAGTAGTGTTGGCTGAACTGTTTTGTAGAAGGACCTATAAATCAGTTTATTCTTTGGGCTATGCCCTTGTCTAAACCATGGGATAATGCACCCTATGGTGGTGTGATTTCTAAAGCACACTAAAGTCTCATGCATTAATTGGTCTGTATTAATACTGCTGGTGCCCACTAAAGGTTTTGAAAATTGCTACATTAACATGTGCTTTGAAACTATCAGTGTGCACCAAGAGGGTCTACCTGTACCAATTAATTTCTATTCATGAGTGTACTTGCGGAATCACTCCCCACCCCCATATAGGACATCACTATTTGATGTAGACAAATCCTTAGTAGAACAAGCAAGAACAGGGTTGCCCCAAACATTTTAGACTGGAAGCTCTAAATTTTCCAATATCGACTAAGTATTGGCGGTCTTCAAGTACACCAACAAAAGTTACAAATCCACTCACAATTCAGAGTGATAAGGGGAGCCTGTCTTATTGACACAATGTGTTCTGAAGGTTGATCTGAGGTGGAGAAAGGGAGACATGGTCTTAAGTTATTTTTGATCACCACGAGACTGAAATTTTTTCCCTAAACCACTGAAGAGAAACCTGAGGCTCAGAAATAGAAAAATGAAAATGGGATAAAGAACTGCCTAGCGGGGTATCTCTTCATCCAGAAACAGCAAAAACAATGGAATTTCTATTTAGAGAAAATCCATGGAAATAAAAACTCCATGGCAGGGGCTTTAAACAGATGTCTTACACTTTTGCCTGGCAATGGACCAGTGAGTGTTGAGAGCCAACATCATCTTGGTTGAAAAAGGGTTATTGGTCCACCTTTTCTCCCTATATCCAGGGCCAGCAAGTAAAACAGCAACATAGCCCTGCCTGAAGCTTCTCCAAATGCTGACATTACAAGCTTCTGAGAGATCTCAACTGGCTCCTCAGGTTCTAAAATCTAAAACCAAGGGAAGGGAGCATCTCCTTTTTATGCTCAGGAAGACCACTTGCCGAGTTTTCTGATGAGTGCTTCCACACTGGTCGCACTATTCATCTTCCACCCTTTGGGAAGAGTTCAGATTATCTTAGTGCCCAAAAGTCACCCAGGAAGGCTCAGTGGGCCTCCTGAGACAGGTTATTAAGAGAGTCAGCAAGGGAGATTGCAGATCATTCAGAAAATCTTGCACTTCTGTTCTTTGTTAAAAGACTTGAGTTAGTATCTCACTATGTGAGAGGCACTTTTAACTCAGCATGAAGGAAGGCTGCTGGTGAAGCAAACCTATGTCATCCCAGAGCAATGCAAGAAGTCAAGAATTCTTTGAATGGCCTTGAAATGAACTTCACAACTTAATAGCATCATGAAGAATCAGGCATTTTCTTAATGGCAACAAATTGTCAGTATCAAGTAGGGGGCCAGGAGATTTTAGATGTGATCCATTTGACCAAATCACCACTTTTAGCTGCCATTTCCTGTTTCCCTGGCAACCGTAATGCACTACTCCCACTGACTGGGGAAATCTTTGATTGCTTCTTTAGGTTTGCAGTATCAGCTCAGCTATCTTCTGTTATGCATCCAGGCACCAGCTTTACAATAGAACAAGCTTTCAGCAGTCATAAGACACATCACTCACCAACTGTGAGAAACAGCCACACCTTTGCTTTCAGAGCAGTTGCTCTTGAATAAACTCTTCTGTGTCACTAACAGAGTGAGAAGCAGAGACAACTGACAAGCTACCCTGGTCACTTTGGTAACTGAATCAAGCCCTGCAACTTTTGAAATTCCTTCAATTGCACAGTGAAGGAAACAACTTTCCTTGATGTTACACGATTTTCACAGCTGTGCCATTCTTGTCAACACCACATCAGAGACCTG